CTTGAGGGCAGAATGTGTTTACAAAACAACAACATTTCTTTCTGGTTTCTTTTCCTAGTTTAAAGCATTTTTTTAAAAAAGTCCAGACAAAGTTCTTCTATCGTCTTCAGACCAGGAAACTCTTACCGTCTTAGACCGCTACCATCCCAAGCATTGCATAATGCTTAATTCCTATAATTCTTCTAAACAAAAATAGGAGAAATAGGAAGTCCATGTGTGAATGTCTGTGAGACTGGTAGGGAGCTGCAGTTTTCTTCAGGAGCAGCGCTAACTAATGTAGCAGTGAGACTTTATTGCACTATATTATATGCATATTATATTATATTGGCATATTGCAAATGGATGGAGCTTGTTACAGATATTTTACATACACTTCATGCAAAGACGCTGGCAGTGGTTGTGAAGCAGGGTTACTGGTTTGCATAAAGGAGCCCTAACAGGAAGTAAGATTTTAAATAACAGCTCTAAATTTGAAAAGCAAAGATTTACAGTGCTAACTTAGCTCAGTTTTCAAGAAAACAGAATTGCATGAGTAAGGGCATATTTTTGTTTTCATTACTATGCTAACAGATAAAAAACTAAATGTACCTATCTTGTCATCCACGCTTAGCTGTAATGCAACATTTATCAAGCTCCTCTAAAAATACAACAAGCTGTCTCAGGGATGCTGAGCTAAATTTATAGTTGAGATCATCATTTCTCTGTTCAACATCTACTGGAAGTCCGCAACAAACCCTCGGTTTCACTGGTTGTTCTAAAGTAAATCCTGTCTTGAAGGTATCCTCCTTTTCACTGTAGGATGTCATCTGAACATCTGTTTAGACCTCACTTGGTCAATTTAGGACAAAGCATGTGAGGCACCTTGTAAAAGGAATAGACCCAGAAACAGTGGAAAACCTTAAACTTGTTTCTGCCCTTCTCCCTTCCCTTCCCTGCTGTGCTCCCAGCTTAGCACAAGTGACGCGGAATGTGAAAGGCTAACACGGTGTGACCTGTCGCCATTTGCGCGATGCACTTAGCACGGGTAAAGGATATAAAGCGTTATTGGTCCAAACTTCTGGAGTTTGCATTTTGGTTTGATGAAAATAATGTACGGAGTTCCTTATGCTGAGACTCAGATTTATTGACAGAACAGGTTTTCTATCTTTTTGTACAAAGTTAGTGGATGTTAGAATATTAAGTAGTGGCTTTCTCTCTTCAGAGTTATTTTAATGCTTTAGTGTACTGATCTGATGTTCTTTTCTACATATAACTTGCATGGGCTTTTTTCTTGGCAAGATGTCTGTGAGCTTGTCTTCTTACACCCAGAACATGTGTTGTGGGACAGGCAAAGAATCCCCAAAACTTACTCTGGCATATTGGTTTCTTCATTCTGTGAGGAGGAATTGCTGTAACAGATGCCAGTACACAGGCATTATATCTGGTCAAACTGATTTTAGTGCTGCAATGTAACATCATGGGATTTGACAATAACAACATGCAGCCTTTCGAGAGCCTGCCATGTACGTTGTCTCTCCTTACACAAATCAGAAGAAAATTTGCAAAATCAGTTTGAGACTTGAAGGTTTTTTTTTTCTTTTGCATCCAGCCATGGGTGCCCTGATTCATATGTGGTTCCGTTTTTACTGGATAGGTGATGTTTGCAATCAGATCTTGTCCTGTTTGGATTTTAATTTTTATGCCAGCCTCAGCTGGGCCTGATCCTTCACAAGGCTTCCAAGTGCTCCCTGAACAAAAGTGACTAGTACATTCTTTCCAGTTCCTCTGGTCAGAGCTCTCTTCTCTGAACTGGTGGTTTGTATTCAAACAATTTTATTTTTTTTTATTGGTATTTTGACAGTGTCTAAAGACATAAACCTATGTTGAGAGCTCACTGTGCTGACACTGTAATATGCATAGAGATACTCTCTGTGCAAAATGTTAGAGAATGCAGGGGTGTAAAAGAACGATTTTCCATTTTAGAGACAAGAAGCTAAGAAGAAAAGGGAAGGACATGTTCTGCAGGCATAACAACTTTGTCTTCTTCCCCCTTAGCCCTTTATAATCATGCCAAAATAGACTATTTAGGTCATTTACTGGTGACCTGTGAATGCCATGTCTATCACAGCCTTTTAAAATGTACAAGTGACAAAGTATTCCCAGTAATGTTTAATTAGCATAGAGAACGAAGATTTGTGAGCATCGCCAAAATGCATTAGGGCTAATATTGTGGGAGGTCTAGCTATGGGCTAAGGGATTACTCAGTTGAGATTACCAGTGCATAGCTGATCTGGCTATTTCAAGTTATCAGAACCTAATTAAATGAAAACATACGAGCAGATAATGAATGGAGCTGTTGGCTAGAAAATCCTCCAGTATTAAATCAGAAGTTTCCTTTAGGGGCAATTAAAATACAGTGACTATATCTTAGGCTGAGTGTTAATCATCAGTATTATAAGTGAATCTGATATTGGCCTGGAGGAGGATTTTTAAATTGAGGTTTTGTTATGAACTTTCCAAAGTTCATGCAGGGTCTTCAAGACCTGTGCTGCTTCCCCCAGCGTGCTACCTCCCATTGCAAATGAGTGAGGCTGTTCTAGCCTCACACATGTTTTTTAATTGCTCTTAGAAGTCACAACCTGATTACAGAATATCAACAGGCCCTTGGGGAGCGAAGGGAAGAAGTTTGGAGCAGTGCGGCAGCAACGGAACGCTAGCAAGGCTGGCTCTGATGCAGGCAGGTGCTGAGCAGCATCCTCTCTCACTTGCATAGTTCTATTTTCTGTGATGGGGTCTGTCTTTTGGGTCACATTTAGTGCCTGTCCCAGCCCATGGGGCAGCACTGAGGGGCAGCGGTGCCACACTAAACACGAGGGGTGTTGAATGAGAAGGACCCCCACTTGCCTCTCAAACCACAGCACTCAGCCTGCTTCATTTGGTTAACGTGGCTCTTAGGGGGAGTGTGTGAGGTGTGTAAATAGCATGGTGTGGAGTGGAATAGAAGGTGTATTTCTCTGTTGGATCCGTGGAGACCATCGGAGGGGACGGCCAGGGCCTCTTGTGATGCTGGCCGGGCAGACTGCCATGCCAGGACAGGAGAGGGCTGCCTGGCTATGAAACACCTCCAAGAGTGAGATATTGCAGCAGAAGTAAATGTGTCGAATACCTGTGAATATGGTGTGTCTTTTGGTTGAGGTATTACTCATTTCTTAGATGTGAAAGCAGAGTTAGGTGATAAAACACTCTACATATTCCACCAGTTTGATTTCCCTCCCCCCTGCCCCAGTTTCATTCAGTTTGATTTTCCTCCATTTCATCTGCCCAGCCCTTGACAACCTACCCATGCTGGTACTGGAGTCACAGTAATCCCAGCAACAGGCTTCAAAACAGTTGCCACCCCACGAGGATGGAGGATTGCTGGCTCTCGGATGGCCCCATCCCATGGGCAGCCCTGGGATCCTCGATGACCGGCTCCTGCCCTCACTGCTGGGCTCCCGGCCTCAAACTCCTCTGGCTCCAGGAGCGGTGTTTTTGAGAATTACGGCTGCTTCTCATTGTCCCACAGCCATTAATACGGGCTGTATTTTTGGTTCCTGGCCATGTGGCTTGGCTCTATTAAAACAGATGTTGTCCAGCCACAGCCTGCTTTTCTAAGGGAGCTGGATCGCTCAGCATCAACGGCCTGTCCTCGTCTTTATTTATTGCTCTTCTAAGTATAGCTGTTTTCAAATTTAATTGGAGATGATGATGTGGATAAAAGTGTTAAATACCCTGGGACCAAGATCTGATCCCAGCAGGACCCCTCTGGAAACGTACTGACTCACTGGTTCCTATTTAAAATTAGATTTTGACACCTGTCAGCCAATTTTTTATTTAATGTGTGCTGTGTTCACTTCAAATCGTTCTGGTTTCTCAATCAAAATATCAGCCGCCTTCCAGAAGTCTGTTCCACGGACACTGTTATCCCTGTTAACCACATCTGTCGTCTCGAAGTAGAAGGTTGTTTGACAGACTCTGTTTTCCACAAAACCTTGTTGATTGCTGTTACTTATTTCCTTTCTTTCTTAATCATGTCCTGTCTCCGCTATTCCATTATTTTGCTGGGATAGATGCCAGGATGACAGGCTTATAATTATCTGGGTCACCCCATTTATCCTTTCTAAATATCCTTTTCTGGAACTTTCCCATTGTTCCACACTTCTTTTGAAAATGAACATACAACAGTCCAGAAAGTCTTCAGCCTTTCTTAAACATTTCAAAGCAAGTATTTGGATATGTTAACTTGAAAAATGAGAGGCTGGGGATCTCATGTCCTCGTAAATCAAACCTATGATGAGAAGTGTCTCAGCGTTATCTTGTGGCTGTGACTCGATGCTCTGCTGCTTTCCCAGAGCCCTCACAAGCTCACGGTCGTGATGTGCTTTTGGAGCAGTCCTGCGCTTTCTGCATTACTGGTGTTACTATGGACAGCTCTGTCACTGCTCTCCAGCAGTGCTGTAGTTATGATTCCCATTCTTCCTAATATCGCTCCTTGGTCTGATACACCATTTAAAAAAAGGTAAAAAAATGAGAAGTTAAGGAAAACATTTGCTTTCTTGACTAAGTGTCTTGGGTTATTTTTCAAGGCTTGTGGGATTAACAAGTGAGCTCCAAATTTATGGATGTAGCATTAGCAAGTGAGCCCATTTTTGCACAGACGGCTGTACACAGTCGCTCGTTCTCCATCTGGCTGGTTTGTGTGGCTACTAGGTTTTTGGGCGAATGGCTCTGAGTGTTTGACTTTTCCATGTTCTGTTTAATTTTAAATTCAAATCCCAGATTCGAGAAAAAAGTCTTACCTTCCACACTGAACGTCATTATTTTAGGTCTTCCAAATACAGTTGCTGATTCCCCTTCCCCGAAACATGATGGTTTAAAAATCTGCTAGAGTAATGGGCGTAAATTAGATATATTAGATGTAAGGGTGCAGAAATATTTTGACTGTGTTGTGACAGCTGGAAATCATGTCCTTCCTCTTTTAGGGTGGTTGGTGGCTTTGAGACCCTGACTGCTATGGAGAATGTGGAAAGTGACCCCAAAACAGACCGTCCCAAGGTATGTGTGAAGCACCAGGGGCTATGCAGGAGGGAGCAAACGCACGTGGCCTCACGTGACTCTGTGGTTCACCCTGCTGCTGCTTCTCTGAAAACCAGACTTAGGGGAGATGGCACAACTTAATCAGTTGATTGAATTGCTCTTCTTCTCTTCTGCTGCCAGGAGGAAATACGAATTCAGACGACGACCGTTTTTGTTGATCCATATGAAGAGGCAGATGCCCAGGTGAGGATAGTTGGTTGGCTGGGTTTTTTTGAAAGGCCAGAGCTCTTCTTTGGAGAACTTTGTAACTTAATACCTTTTCTTTGAAGATGGGCAGCCCCCTGGCTCATACGGTTGCAAACTAAGATTAAACAGCTGCCATTCAGCATTGCCTTGTGTGCCAGGAGCATTGCCACTCTTTCAGCGGAGAGGCCTTGTAACTGAGTCTGGCACGGTTCCCAGTCCATCACACTTCCAATGGTTTCCTTTCCAAATGCCCACAGTAGCTATGGGCAGCTGCAGGTGAGAAGAGAGGAGTCTTGTTACAATGGCTGCAGACAGCCTGTTTGTAGTGGCCCTTGAGGTCTGTCTCCTAAAGCCTGCCCTGTAATCATAGCAGTGCTGATTGCTGTTTTAAAGTGCTTTAAAGCTTCAAAGAATTGTAGGCATTTTCACCTTACTCTGCACTAGCTCTTGCAACAGATTGCCCTCTTTGCTTCCCACAGGTTGCTGCAGAAAGAGAGAAAGTCCAGCTAGAAGAAGAAGCAGCCAAAACAAAAGTGGAGGTGGTCCCACCAAAGAAAGAGGTCGAGACTCCTAAAACTTACCGGCAGGGGATTGGAAAATACATTAACATGGCTGCAGCGTGAGTTCCCTGCCCATCTGATCTTTGTTGAGTGTTTTAGTTGCCTTTCCTGCTGGACGCTGACCCTGTCCAGCACCATTCCTCAGATGTTTGCTTTGTGCCAGCAGGCTTTGCAAAGACACCTTCATGCAATTCTAACAGTCAGGAGTTCCCTCTACTTCTGTTGTTTTTCAAGATTACAAGTTAACTGAGCTTTTCTCCTAGCACTTGAACATGTCCAAATTGGTCTTTAACAGCATGTGCTGACTTCAGAACTGTAGATACATTTCCACAACTCAGAAATCCTTGTGGATCTGTGCTGTGTCACTTCCTACACCATCTTTTATTCTCTTCCTCTTCTGCAGCTATTTCTGAAGGCCATGGTCCCCACAGATTGTTCTCTCCTAGCAGCTTCTCCCCTGCACAAAGTATTTGCCTTAAATCCATATCAGACTGATCTGGTTCCCTGTTCAGCCACACAAACGGTTGTACCAGCACAACTGAAATGACCGGAAAGGGGAGCAGATTCCCAGGCTTGCCGTGGGAGCACAGGGTGTCTGGCAAGTAGCTCCAGGGTGCCTGGCTGGTTGTACAGGCTTGTCCTAAAGCATCCTCTCCCAGACACCCTTTGTACACCCGTTGGGATTGGCAGCATTTCCGTGCTTTCCTAAGGACAACACCTGAGTGGCAGCTATGCATGAGTTTTGGATAAATTAAAATAAATGCCTTCCACTGGATTTTTTGCAGACTTTTCTAAAAGCATTTGCAAAAATGCTGTTGATTGTCTGCTACATAAAGGTGTGTGTTTATGCATACACAGATCTGGACAGCTATTTAATCAGCTTGTATGTGCCTGCGTGACTTACAGGCATTTGCATAACTGTGAGAACAAAAATATGTTAGCCCACATGGGTCACTTTGGTGTGTCAGTTAAACATTTCAGTTACAAATATTGCTTGTCCCTTAAAATACTATGTTCAGCTTAAAATTTCTGCCATTCTGCACTGTATTTACAGAGGAAACACAGGCAGAGTTTGCAGCTCTGTGGAAAGAGCCAAGTAGCATAGAAAGAACTTTTCCTTCCTAGTCCTTCACTCATTGCAGACTGCCTTTTGGTCCGTAGCAGCCCTTTGGCAGATTCGGGGTTCTTGGTTCTCCCTATCGGCTACTGATACCTGACAATAAAACTACAGTACGTGAGCTGGCTGCGTAGTGTTTCCATGGGGTTGAAAACTCTGCTTGAGAGAGGCTGAGAATAGCAGCAGCGACTGCAACAGGCCATGCTCAAGAAACAGGAAAGGATCTGAAAAACTTGCCCAGCTGCTTTATACCTAATTCCTCATAAATCCTTTTGCTGCCACAAATGCACGTGAGAAGGCAGGGAGAGAACTTGTGGCTCGCGTTTTCATTGTGACTGTGCTAAAAAAGTACAGCTGTTAAATTTTCAGCTCTGGCCTGGAGAACTTGTTGAGTTTTACACACGTTGAAAGCCTGACCCGAGCCATCCCCACAGACTGACACACTCTCTCTCTTTTTGGGTATGCCAAAGGCCCCCATCCCCACCCCTGCTGCTGGGGGTCCCCATGCGGGCACAGATCTTGTGCTCCTCTTTAACTGATAAGGGATGGGCTGGCTCCCGCATAGCTGTTGCTGGGAGAGGAAAGGCATCCAGCTGCCCTGATCCCACCAAGCAGTAAATAGTCCCTGAGAGTTGTTTCATTTTGGCTCCAGGAAGCGCAGCATGGAAGATGACGGGCCCTCAACCAGCACAGCTGCGAAGAAAGAGAAAAAGAGCACAGGCTTCGGGGACTTCAGCTCCTGGTAGCAGCATGGGGAGCCTAGCACTGGAGCAGCACAGCAAAAAAGAGAAGCCGGCCTCCCACGTGTCCCCGAAGAGCCCGAAAGACAGCCTGTCCTGGGGAGAGAAGGCACCAGCCTCCCTTCCCCTGGGGAAGAAAACTGTTGCTTTGTTAAGGCTGGTTAATGTGGCTTTGTTTTCTAGAGAGCTGCGTTCCCCCCACTGCATCTTCCTCGAAGGCCTTTTTGTTGTTGTTTTGCGAAGCGGGGAGCAGGCAGCCCAGCTCCGATGGGGATTAGCTGGAGCCTTTCTCTGCTTGGCTGGCAGCAGACCAGGCAGAGCCCAGCCTTGCAGGACGCTGCTTCAGTGAACAGCTACGATGGTGAAAGAACTCCTTTTACAGGTAATCGTTTCCAGACGAGCCAAGTCTGCCAAGCGAAGGAATGAATTAATGTGCTGGGGAAGTGCCTGTGCTGCTGTAGCGCTTTGTGGAGGGGAGGAGAGGGCTTCAGCCTGTCCTGCCCTTCCCTCCCAGCTGCCTTTTGCTAGTTCTCAACAAGGACCAGTCTTCTCTCTTGCTTTTTGCGGGCCTGCCTCCTGGCTGGACTGACTGTTGTCAGTCTCTGTAGGGCCTCGCTCACTCCAAAATGAGCTCTCTCTGTACCCATTTAAATCTCTGACAGCCTGGGAAGCAGTGGATCTAGATGGGGAGCCTGGGGTAGCTGCAACGCTTGTTCCTCCCAGTGGCTGGCCTTCCCCGAGCCACTGGGCAGCCAGAGGGGCCAGGATGCACCAGTTCAAACCTGCCTTCAGGTCCCAGAAGCTACAGCCTGAAGCAACTGAGCAGGAATAGAAACTTTGTAGAAGTTTCTCCTTTATAGAATTTTTTTTAATAGAAACTGCTTTTTTATTTTACACAATCCCAAAAGCCTGCTCCTTGCAGGGGAGCGTACACCGTGGTCTGCCCTGACATCAGTCCTCCCATCATTAGGGAAAACCATGTAATATAGCTGCCAGGCATCTCAGATATTTCCGTTGCATACCCACAAATTATTAGGAAGCTTAATAAAGGCCTTATGGGATAAAGATGTATCAGCCTGAGAAGTTTTGATGTTTTAATCCAAAAACCTATGTGTGTTACCAACACTTAGACATAGCAGGCTAGATCCTGAACATTCCTTTTCAGTTCATCTTGGGCCTTTTCAGATGACAGGAATACCTTCCCTACCTCTCTACGTGGCTGAGGAGATAGTTTTGTAATCAGCTTTGTAACAATACATTTATATTGGTGGTTTCTTGTTTTAAGAGAAGATTCCCTTTATATGAAATTGCTGTAAAGACTTTTGGTAAAATGTTTTGCATTAAATGCTTTTATTTTCTTTTGAATGCTTGCCTTTGACTGTTCAACTGTCATTTCCAAGATCATGGCATTGCAAAGTTGACTGTTGTACAAGGAAATGATTCATTCCTATTTTTTAAGATGCTCATACGGAACTCTGGGATCTTTGCGGATATGATTATATCTTTGTTAAATCATAGGAAGTTCAAACTAGTCTGAAAGAATAATAGGGATTTTTTGTTTTGCAACATTTTGCAGCGTGTAAGTTTGAAATAACGTGTTTGATTACTGGAACAGGGGATATGATGGTACTTTACTCAAGCTGAGTTTTTTGGGTCTAAATGAAACCTCTTGCTTCTCCTGGGCTGGCCTTTTCCTGATAAATTGCTATTGATCCCTTCGACCTAACTTGTGCTTCAGCATGTCTTTGAGTCATCAGGTTCGCAGTATTGCTAGAGCTGGAATAGGCAGTTTATAATGAAACCTATAAAAGTAAAATGCTTTTTTGTGCTAGATCAAAATGGAGATTGTTATGAAAGAAAGGAGCTTTTGATTACAAGGAAGGCAACAGAGGTGTGGCAAGGACTCCTATTTCAGCAAGAGTCCTTGTTACAGATTGATATAAGGGACAGTTTCCTCTCGCAGCAGCAGGTTGCAGAGATAACTACCCGCTTTCCCTTTCTGCTCCAGCTTTTTGGCAGCGCTCGCTGCAGTCCACAGAGGACCACTGCCATGCAAAGTGCAGACGGGACGGCTGCCCTTCCAAGCGCTGGCTTTGCGCTGCCTGTTTCATGACAACGTACCACCATAACATGAGACACAAAAGAAAGCGCAATTTCCTGGCTTCGAGGAAGGGCTGAGCTTAACCCTTTTAGTTTGGCTCTAAGCAGGGGTGAAGCTCTTCAGCCTCCATTCACTGCTTGACCTGAATCCAGTTCTCAGGCTGGTCTGCTGGTGCTCCCTGCTGCTGTTGGTGCCTCCCAGGCTGGGAGAGGCTGGCTCTGGCCCATCCCCAGGGTGCCGCAGTGGGGCACGGAGGTCGAGCCGTTTGGCCGAAGCCGTGTGCTGAGTCAGCAGCCGGGCTGGGGTTTGTACCGAGAGCCTCCGCAGGGAAGCGGAACCATTGGTGCTCAGGCAGCCAGACCCTGCGGCAAATTTTTGTTCTGAGTTCCCACCTCTCTGCTCCCTCCCACACCTGTATTTTTGCATACGTGGTTAATTTTTTTTTTTAACATCAGATTTTCTTCCCATCGACAAAACCACAGGGACAATGTGACACAAGCTCTTCTCTAAAAGATGAGTGAAAATGGTGAACCATGCTGATGGGAGCACGAGGTGGGTGCCCAGAGAGCGGGGCAGTGTGGTATAACCCTCATTTTTAAAAAACCTGGCTCTTTGCTGGGTGACTTGCCGAGTTTCTGCTACCTGAGTCGGGAAAGGGGAGGAAGGAGGCTTTGCTGAAACCTTTACTGCCCCTTTCATCGCTTGGTTCTCCAGCAAGCACGGTGTGTTAAGGGAATACCCAAACCAGCTCCTGCCGTGGCTGGAGGGATAGGCAGGAATTGTGCAGCCTTACTACAGAAAATCACTCCTGGGGGCTGCCGTGCTGTTTGTAAGCACATTTCTATATTCTTTGTCTTTGACACTTTTCCATAAATACGCTTAGAGAGAAAAGTAGGATTTTAACCAGAGGATAGAGTAGTTTCTGTCTGGCCTAGGTTAAAATAACACCAGTACTCTCTTACTTTGCCTTGCCCCATACCCGAGTCGTTTTGCTGAAAAGCAGAGGCACTGGGCGACTGCTAAATTTGTCATTTTCTGAGACCTGGCACTGTAGCAGCAAACACCACAAGCACAAAACATCCTCAAGAAGGTGGTGGGATGCGGTGGGGCTGGCAGCCCTGACCGCTTGTTTCCATACAGCCGCACAAAGTCATGGAGCTCGCAGGAGCTCTTCACCTCTACTTTTTCTGGCGTGAATTCAGCCTGGCCCCTCAAGGACCGTAGTATTGTCTGTGTGGGAAACAGCACTAATTGAATGGTTTTGAAGCTAGATAGCTGCAACTGTTATTTCCATATTTACCAAGAAAAAAAAAGCCCAAAATACTGTTTTTCAGTTTAATTTTGCCTGTTCCCTGCTGGTTTCAATTGCTACAGCCCACTCTCCTGGAAGCAGGAGCTTGTACAGGCAATTGCTTTGCTTCAGTGTCACGTGGTGGATTGTACTGGTACCCATCTCATGTGGGGCCACGATCTGTCAGCAGTGTGTAGACAAACTGCCTTTCAATGTCTCCAAGAAAATCCTGCTTCTCCCTCGAGCTCCTTTCAAGACAGGGACCAGGCAATGCGTGTTCCCCAGAGCACAAGCCACCGTCGGCCATAAGAGCGAGGGGCTTGATGGGGAGGAACATTCTGCATGTGCAGAATTCTGTCTGGCATGGCTTGGCTCACTTCCCATCTGTGCTAAATTTACCACTTCTTGCTGTGAATTAAAACCCACACAGAGCATACCTCTACTAGGAACTGCTCCAGGCAAAGGGCTGTTTCACCCTCTTGAGCCTGACCAGTGGGCGCAGGGGAGATGTTCAGGCCCTGGACCAGCTGCTGTTGGGATGCCATTGGTACCAGGACCGGAGCAGAGCACGGGCAGAGACAAATGGACAGCGACAACCTGGAGGAGCCTGCGATGGTCAGTACGATGGGGATGGGGGAAGGAATGGCTGCTGGGTGTGCCAGGATGCCTCTCTGGAGCCTGGCACACGGGTTGCAGCTATCAGGCCCTGGAGGTGGCTGCTGGACTCGCTGGATGGTGGAGCTAAAGCAGAGGAGGTGAGAGAAGCACTGGGGCTGCCTCCTGGGGCACTCCCTGCATCAGAGGCTTGGGGATCTCACAGGGGACATCACAGAGGTGGCACATCCCTGCCCTGAGGCAGCTGCCCACACGGGTGCATCCATCTTGCACAGGCGTCCTTGGGAACCTTACAGAGGGGAACAAAATACCTGATGGGATCCATTCTGCTCTCTGGGTTTTTCCTGGCCAATTCCTGGCATTTTTTTGCAGTTTTCTCAACTCTTAGTGCCTCCGTGTGCACCTGCATGACTTGGCCCCAGAGACCTCAGGTGAAGGGCATTTGTGCCCCTTTGGTCCCCTCGGCTTTGACTTGATGTCCATGGTCTGAGCTTTGATGCAGCTTCTGTTCAAGAGCAGTGGTCAACCACCCCTCAGCTGGCTGCAAAGTTGCTGGCAGAAAACAAAAATCCACTTCCCGAGTCACGGTGGGGCTCCTGCAGTGCTGGGTGTCCCCCTGGGGCGAGCTGCTCGCCGGTGGCTCTGGGGCAGCTGCACCAAAGGCCATCTTGAAACAAAGGGAGCGTGGTGAGGCTGTGTCCCTCACCTAGCAGGAAAAGCAGAAGTAATAGCAGCAAAAGCTGCTGTTTATCTGCCCAATTCCCTTTGGAAGAGCCCATGGTGCTATAGGAAACCTGCAGGAGCAATGCTGTGTCCAGCCTGGGCGTTTGGTGCGGCTGCCTGGGAGATTTGCTCTGAGTTGATGCAGTTTGTGCCATTGGCACCGAGACTTTAAGGAGAGCGAGGTAAAGGTTGTCTTTAGAGCTATAGAAGTAGTTTATGGCAGCTGCTGGTCTTGTGGTTGCACGTGGATAGGCTTGCAAGGAAGTACGGGGGTTTGGTTCAACAGCAGCAGTGTGTTGGTTTAACACTGCCTGTGCTGGTGCCTCGAGAGCCGGTCTCTGCTGCCCAAATCCCACATGTGGGTGGCAGATGCCCGTACCACAACCGTTCAGCAAAAGCAGTGAAGGGCTGATGTGCTAAATGGAGCCGCAGTGGCCAAGCCCTTCGAAGGAGCTGATGGGTGCCTGTGGGTCAGCATCACTGGCACCACGCTGCTGCAGACGCAGCAAGATGGGCAGAGCACTGGTGGGTGCAGGGGGCTCTTGCAGCCCCCGGCTGGGCACGGATGGCCCCGGCATGGGCTGCGTCAGCCCCGTCGGCCGGTGGTGCAGGCGCAGGCATGGCCGTAGCCACGCTACAGCCGGTGGGAGCAGCTGGCAGATAAACCCAGTGCTCAGACGCTGAGTTAAAAGTATTGCATATTTCTGGGATCCCCCCACCACCCCTCAGCAGTGGTGTTTGGAAGGAACAGGATGCCAGAAACCTTGTGCCAGGAAGCAGCTTTTATAAGCAATGGAGGGGATTTGCCAAACGCTTCCCCCCAACCCCCCAAGTTTCAACACTGTTTGCTTTGGAGGAGGCAAACAAACTAAATCAGACTGCACAGGAAGGAGGCGGGCAGCTGCCTGCCCCGGCCGGCAATGGCTTACTCTGCACGGCGCAGCCAGGGATTTCTCGCTTCCTCTCTTTCTTCAGAAAGCAAATTTGTTATCACAGCCATGGCCGAGGATTAACCGCCCTGTGCTGTGACTGCAGGGAAAGGGCCGGAGCTGAGGCTGTGCTCAGAGCTTGGGGAGCACAGCCCCTCGGCTCCTGGACACCTACCTCCACAGCAGCGACATCCAACCCCATCAGCTCAGACCTGGCTGTCCCCATCCCTGCCACCCACAGGGACCAGGACCCCCGCTGCAGTGCAAGGCTGTGACCAGGCTGTGGTGCTGGGGGGGACAACGGGGTGGCAGCACACCCTCCTGCCCTGCCGTGCAGCCACCAGCATCCACCCACCCATCCCACGTGCTGCTTTAGCTCACCCATCTGGCACAAAGAGCCAGTGGCCGGTTGCTTCTCGGGCCTTAACCCTGCAGCAGAAAACGCCCCTAAAAAAAGCAAACAGAGCTTGATGGGTGAGGAGAGAGGCTCCCAGTGGCATCAGCCCCTTCCCCAGGCCCACAGCCCCCACCTCCTGCACATCCCTTGGGCAGCCCAGGTGGCTTTTGGGAAGCTCCAGCCATGGGTGCTGGCGCCCAGCAAGCAGCAGTTGTGGCCACGCAGTGTTGTGGCCGATCAGAGTGCGTGTGTGTCCCACGCTGGACGCCCTGATCGGGAGGCAGCGGTACTGGTGAGCTGTGGTGCTGCACTGGGGCCAACGGCCACAGCATGGCTGTTTGCAGCCAAGAGCGTGCATGAAAGTGTGCATAGGGATTTCTAAACAAAAAGCATGTTGTGACCACAGGCTGGGGCACCCCATGGCCCAGGGAGGGATGTTCCCACTGAAGGGACACGCAGCCATTTGGGACAGAAGCTGAGGTGGCTCTGAAAAGCAGCTCCCTGGAGCT